ATTGGTTGGTTTACTATGCTACCGTTATTCTACACAAAACACAGCAAAGGAGCAAATTGGAAATGAGTGCCAGAGGCGACTCAAGACAGTTCACAACAGATTTGGAAAAAAAACTGCTATATAAATATCATATTTTTAAAAAAATAGTAAACATATATTAGGATTTTTTAAAAATCAAGTTTTAAAAATTCAAAGCCATTTAAAAATCTGTATGTTAAAAGCAGAGGCATCACCTTGCTGTGAAAAGTCTGCATCTTCAAAGCTATGGTTTTCCCTGTAGTGATGTATGGAAGTGACAGCTGGACCATAAAGAAGGCTGACCGCCAAAGAATGGATGCTTTTGAATTGTGGTGCTGGAGGAGACTCTTGAGAGTCCCCTGGACTGCAAGGAGAACAAACCTATCCGTTCTGAAGGAAATCAACCCTGAGTGCTCACTGGAAGGACAGATCCTGAAGCTGAGGCTCCAATCCTTTGCCCATCTCATGAGAAGAGAAGACTCCCTGGAGAAGACCCTGATGTTGGGAAAGAGTGAGGGCAAGAGGAGAAGGGGACGACAGAAGAGGAGATGGCTGGACAGTGTCATCGAAGCCACCAACATGAATCTGACCCAACTCCAGGAGGCAGTGGAAGACAGGAGGGCCTGGCGTGCTCTGGTTCATGGAGTCACGAAGACTCGGACACGACTTAACGACTAAACAACAACGTTAAAAACCAGCATTTGCTGCTTAATGACCTGCCTGAAGAGGAAGGTCTTTGCCTGATGATGGAAGGACAACCTGGGTTCTCGGGGCCCTTTGTTCAAAGCCTGGGCGCCACCACTGAGCAGGCCCTTTCTCGTGACCTCACCAAACAAGCTTGAGAAGGTGGTGGAACCGAGACGAGGGTCTCCCCAGAAGATCTTAAAAGCTGATCACCAAACGAGCTTGAGAAGGTGGTGGAACCGAAACGAGAGTCTCCCCAGAAGATCTTAAAAGCTGAGAAGGTTCATATGGGGGTGATATGAACCTTGAAATCGCCTGCAAAGAGATTAAATAAATAATTTGTGCACTTAAAAGGCCTGTAGTCCTCAGATTTTCCTTTTGACGGTGGACCGTTTTCTCCATTGCTCTTGTGATGATTGAGCTTGAGAAGGTGGTGGAACCGAAACGAGAGTCTCCCCAGAAGATCTTAAAAGCTGAGAAGGTTCATATGGGGGTGATATGAACCTTGAAATCGCCTGCAAAGAGATTAAATAAATAATTTGTGCACTTAAAAGGCCTGTAGTCCTCAGATTTTCCTTTTGACGGTGGACCGTTTTCTCCATTGCTCTTGTGATGATTATATTTCACATTAAGATGTTTACAGATGCAGGGGTGATATGAACCTTGAAATAGCCTGCAAAGAGATTAAAGAAATAATTTGTGCACTTAAGGCCTGTAGTCCTCAGATTTTCCTTTCGATGGTGGACCGTTTTCTCCATTGCTCTTGCGATGATTATGATATTTCACATTAAGATGTTTACAGATGCATTAAATACTATCAGCCGAGGCCATAGCTAAAAAGCCACTTGTATAAACAGGAGGCGAGGTGAGGTGATGTTCAGCTTCCTTGGGTGTTACCACATAATTGCTGTTTGGTTGTTTGGTGTACTGTATCACAGAACCACTTCCTATGTCCGGCATGTTCTCAGCTCATGGATTTTAAATAGTTTCTTCGGTTAATTCTCTCTGTATTGGAGGTGCCTGACCACAGGAGGTGTGCAGAAGATCACGGCTTCTGACTCAGGAGGCTGACGTATCTCATTCCTCTGCCTGGGCATGCATGTGGGCGTTTCTTGGCCCCTTGTCAGTCCAAAAACATTATTCAGTAACATTTAAAATAGCCATTAAAATGCCCAGTCATAGGACAATTAAATAAAAGTCAATTTCTGGCCTAGTCACCAGGCAGAAAGAGTTTGGTCACCTCTGAGTATCTGAGTTCTGGGAATAGGTGTGGAAAGTAGCTGCTGCAAAGTGCTGCAATCAAGTGACGATACCAGATGCGAAGGATGAGCGACACAATCTCGTCGTGACCCATCTGTCTCTTGCCCTTCCTTCCAGTTCTGTTCAGCTACGGGTCCGTTGGGGGGGGGTAAGAGGCCAAGAGGCTCAGCCTAGGGTGGAGAAGTGACCTAGAACCAGGTCAGTTCTTGCATAAATGGATCTCCAAAATGCCCTGTCAACAAACTTAAGCCTGTGGCTTCCCTGAGGGATTCAATCCGTCTTGCATCAGATCTTCCTCTTTTCCTGCTGCCTTCCACCGGGTCTTCCTCCTTTCCTGATGCCTTCCACCTTTCCCAGTATGATGGTCTTTCTCAGAGAATCCTGCCTTCACATGATGTGCCCAAAGAACGGCAGCCTCAGCTTCAATATTTTTGCCTCCGGAAATAATTCAGGCTTGATTTGATCTAGGACCTACTTGTTCATCTTTCTGGCAGTCCAAGGTCTCTGTAAAGTTCTCCTTCAGCAACACGATTCAGAAGACAAATCAAATGTTTCCTGTCGTAACTCTTCATCTTTCACACCCATACATGGCGATCAGGAATCCAAGAGGGTGGATGATCTTGGTCTCCAGTGACCCATCCTTATCCTTGATGATGATCTTTTCTAGTTCCTTCATTGCTACGCTTTCCAAGTCTCTGTCTTCCTCTGACTGATTGATTAATTTAAAACATTTCTATCCTGCTTTTCTCCCAAAAGGACCCAAGGTGACTTGATGATTGAAGCAAGGTCTACAACATCTCTTAACTATTTAAATTTCCTTGTTGTCAACATTAAAGTTAAATAAATAAAATAAATAAATTAAAGTTGTGGACTTCTTCTGTAGTCATGGTTGTCTTCCTAACCTTCAGCTGCAGTCCTGTTTTGGCACTTTCTCCTTTCACTTTCCCTAACGGTGGTTTCAAAGCCATTAAAAAGGGTGTCCTCTGCCTATCTTAAAGTGCTGATGTTTCTTCCACCCATTTTCACTCCTTCTTCCTCTGAATCTAGTCCAGCTTTCCCTAGGATATGTTCAGCATGCAGATGGAACGGAGACAGAGATAAAAGGCACCATCGCCTGACCCCTTTGCCTGTAGGAAACGCTTCTATCTCTTCACATTCTGTTCTTAATGGTAATTTCTGGTCCACAACACAAGTTATGCATCAGGATAATTAAGTGTTGAGGGGGGGCACCCATATATTTCAGAGCAACTGATTGTTTCTCATGATCTCACAATCAAAAGCTTTGGGGCTCTCTGTTAGCTAATGGATATTTGCAATCTGATTTCAAGTGAAATTAAGCTGGAATCTCTCAGGCACTTCTCACTCCACATAAGGTAGAAGGCTTTGTTTCAACTGCTTGAGCATCATTTTGCTTGCATGAGAAATCAAAGCAATGCTCCTCTAGTTACTGCACTCCTTGGCATCTCCTTTTCTTAGGCATTGTAACGTCTATTGAGTGTTTCTAGTCTGTGGGCCATTGTCTTGTTTCCCTTATTTGTTTGCATATTCTTCTTATGATTTTGACAGATTCATTCTCTGTGGCTTAAAACAGATCTATCAGTATTCCATCTACCCCTGGTGATTTATTTCTTATATCCTGGAGGGGAATTCCAGATTTAATAATACAGTTTGGTATATTGGGCAAAATCAAAAGAAACAGAACAAAAGAAAACGAAAACCTGTGGTGCCTTAAAAGACTATATTTTAATGTGAGTTTTGGTGGACGTGGTGATGCTACAGGTTAAACCGCAGAAGCCTCTGGGCTGCAGGGTCAGAAGACTAGCAGTCGTAAGATCGAATCCATGCGAAGAAGTGAGCTCCCGTCGCTTTGTCCCAGCTCCTCGCCAACCTAGTACTTCGAAAGCATGCAAATGGGAGTAGATAAATAGGTACCACCTCGGTGGGAAGGTAAAATGGCGCTCCCTAGTCACGCTGGCCACGTGACAACGGAAACTGTCTTCGGACAAGCGCTGGCTCTACGGCTTGAAAACGGGGATGAGCACCGCCCCCTCGAGTCGGACACAACTGGACTAAAAAATGTCAAGGGGAACCTTTACCTTTGGTGGACAGGTCCAGACCTACAGAAGCAGAATAAATACTGATTGGCTCTTGGAGGGATGTGATATGCAGTAATTGATGGCTTGGCTGTTTTAGGGCTGCGTTGTAAAAATTCCTCAGGAGACAGAAAAGAGACACAGATCCTAGGCAAATATGAGGGAGGGAGACAAGAGAGGAGGGGAGTGTGTGTGAGAGAGGTGTGTGTGTCTGTGTGAGAAAGTATGTGCCACTCTGTGTGTGTGTGTGTGAGGTCTTTGTGTGTGAAGTGTGTATCTGTGTGAGGGAGAAGAGAGGGGTGTGAGTGAGACAGGGGGTGTCTGTGTGTGTGAGAGAGAGGCGTGTTTGCATGTGAGGTGTGTATTTCTGTGTGAAGTAGAAGTGTGTGTGCGTGTGTGTCTCTGCCCTTCTTCCCTTCCTTCCTGGAGCCCCCGAGGGAGGCAGGGACGGAGAAAGGGCCGGCCGGCCAGGCCCACGCCGGGGCGCTGTGGCTCTTCGGCCTCCGCCGAGGAGGCGGGCGGGCGGGCGGACAGGCAGGCAGGCATCGGCGGCGGCGGGGGAGGAGGAGGCGGGCCCCACCGAGGGGCGCAAGGCCGGCGGG